GTGGGTTGGTCTCCGCCGCGCTGCCGGCCTCCCTCCGATACCTGGTCGTCGTCCGGCCCTCGCCTCGTAGTCCCTAGCTCAGACTCTCCCTGTAGGTCTCCAGCGGCCAAGAAGAGAAAGCTCGTTCCCAACGGCTCCCAGGCGAAGAGGAAGCCGGCCTCCAGCAGCGATGACAGCTCCAGCGAGGAGGACGAGACGCCCCCGGCCAAGAAACCAGGTGGGGTTGGTGAGCGGCCCTAGGGCAGGCCAGGCTTGTGTCCGACACTGGCACCTCACCTGCGTCAGTTCCAGCGGCTCATTTGAGGTCCCTCAGCGACTATCAAGGACTGGGTTTTTTTGTTGACTGATCTTGTTTCTGGCAGCTCTTCTGCCCCTGACATGTAAAGTATGTTCATCCTAGCTAGGGGTGATCTCTTTATCCCCTTAGAATTTAAGCACATCAGGGTTTATGTCCGCCGGAAGACTTTAGGCATTCCTTTTGGTTGAGACTGGTGAAGGCACTGGGCTGTCTTGAGTTTTGAAGGTGCTGTTAAAGTAGCACCTTCATTACCTTGTCTGTATTGAGATTCTGCTTTCCAGACATTCACTGATAGGATATTTCAACAGGGTTGCTCCTACTTCAGCACCTTCAAATTACAGTTTTTGAGTGCATGTACACTGGGCTAGTACTCTCTCTGTAGGAGATAGCTACCTCATGGGGTTTTTTCCATGCTATTTTCCAGAGACTCTGTTTCGCCGAGAGCTTCAAAGAATGGTTTCATACCTTGCTATTGTAGGACAACTGATTCAGGTTTTGTAAGTGCTTCACATTCGTTAGAATAGGTGTAATTTGACAAGACAACTGCACGGCTAGGATTTATCAGGCTACTTTATATTGATGGGCACCGTGACCTGTTTGATGCAGGGCAGACGTACACAGTATCAAGTTCCAGAGAAAGGCCAAGCATCCTTACATGCTGCTTGTGTGAAGTTACTACCCCCTTTCTCTGGAGCCTGTGTCCTGGTGCTATCAAAAATACGTCCCTCTGCTGTACAGAAGTATGCGGTGAGCTGTATTTTTCCCTTGTTGTCTGGAATTGTCCTTATGCCTTGCCTTAATCACGGTGTGTGCAAGTTTGTATGTGTCTAGCAGTAGATTTGTGGGAAAGAAGGAGTAGACAGGGAGAGGAAGAGACAGAAAGAAAATTGGTCTTCAACCTGAGCCATCCTAAAGCTGAACTTGAGCTTAGATCTGATTTTTATTTGATAAGGACAGTTGCAATTATAATGTGAGGCAAAATTATTTCCGTTGTTCCATGTTATTAAAAAGCAGTCAGCAACCACAAAGGAGTAGATTTTGCTAAAACATGTTAAGCAAAGTGCCCAGAACCTTAACACAGCATTGCAGTGGTTTTCTTTGGAAGTCTGTGCTTGCTCAGCAGGTTTTCGTAAGCTGGAAGGTGTGCAGACCCAGTTAATGTTACATGTGGGGACATTTTCCATGTGGGGTGTCCTTTTTGGTGATAGAAGCCTGTACTTAAATGTGTATGTGACAGATAAAATCTAGAATTGGTTTTGTGCTCTTGCCTACCCATTCTAGAGTCTTCTGCTGCACCCTTCTCAAGAAACAAAGTCAGTGTTATGAGCTTCAGTCATGTTTTTTTTTACCCTGATACACCCTAGTATATGGTATAGGTACATAAAAGTTCTGAATTAACTTATCATGAATATGTGCTGTCCCTTATTTGCAGCTAAAGCAGCAGCTGTGCCCAAGGCAAAAGCAGTTCCTCCAGCCAAGAAGGCAGAGAGCAGCAGCGAGGACTCCAGTGACGATTCAGACTCGGAGGAGGAGAAGAAGCCAGCAAAGGTCAGCTTTTCTTTCCAGCCTCTTTAATACATGTTTGACACTGATGGGTAAGAGCAGATTTGACCAGCAGAATTCTCTCTGAAACTGGGCTCACTTTTCCTGAGCACTGAAGTGCCTAGACTGCTGCAGGTGCAGTGTAAGAGCTATTTCTGTAGTGGACAGTGTGCTATTTGGGCCGGTCCCATGAAAAATTATTTTATGTCCAGCACCCACTTTGTTTCATATCCAAGTCTGCTCCTTGTTTTTATCATAAGGCTGCCAGGGCTTACTTTGTTTGCAGAGAAAGACTTATTTACAATCTCTACAATAAATTTGATCTTTTTCTACATAGGTGCATATATATAAAAGGAGAATCTTTTTCTTGCTGTAGTTTTGAGAAGAGGTGGGGCGGAAGAGTGATGTCAGTGTGCACTAGAGGAGACCAATCTGTATTGCCCAGTCAGTATTACCAGTCTTCAAACTAGTGTGATCTAGAGAAGAAGAGAACAACGCCAACCCCAGAGCCAACTGAGGTGCAAAGGAAGCCTCCCATGGGCTGCTGGGAGGTTTCCCAGAACAAAATTGTTATCCAGTGTTTTTTGGGTCCTAACTGTTAGGCAGGGTGGTGTTTACAAGTCAAAATGGTAACCTCTGTGAAAGACAGATGTTTATACTCTCTGTACATGTGTCCCACTTCCTAGCCTCCTTTTCTTTTCATGGCTATACTGGTTAATTAGTTTCCCCCCCGTTCAGAAAGGTGCAAAACCTGTGGTAAAGCCAGCTGGAACCAAAGTTCAGCCTCAGAAGAAAGCAGAGAGTTCCAGCTCTGACTCGAGCAGCTCAGATGAGGAAGCACCAAAGAAACAGCCACCAAAACCAGCAACACCTAAACCAGGTACCTCTTCTTGTGTATCATGAGTCAAAGTGCAAAAACCAGGGGAGGAGGGATGGGGCCTATACCTACATGCACAGGCATGTCTACTAACCTCACAGCCTGAAAACTCGCTGTCACTGCTGTTTGCACTGCAGTCCAGTCTGCTTCTGACATGGGAAGTGTGGAACTGATTGCAAATAAAACATCTGGTCCCAGATGCGGCATGGTTTGCAGCAGTAGCTGTGATCAGCAACCTTAACTGCTTAAGTTGTGCTTTTGCTAGTGTCTTCTCCTCAAAGAGCAGGGAATGTCTTTAGTCCTGGAACTTTGATGAGCTGGAAGAGACAGTTTTCTGAAAACTTTATCTAAGCTTGCAGTAGGATACAAGAAGTTTTGCAGTACTGCCTTAATCTAGCCCGTTGGCTTTCTGTGGTATTCTCTCTATCATACATCTAGCCCGTTGGCTTTCTGTGGTACTTTTCTCTCTATCATATGTTATGCTGAATGTAATTAGCCTTCATCTGCCATAGCATATTTTCTGATGTCTCTTTTCACTTATCTCAAAAGGGAGTAAAGCTGCCCCGTCAACCACCAAGGTGGTCAATGGAAAAGCAGCAAGCAGTAGCAGCAGTAGTGAAGATTCTGATGAGGAAAAGGCTGCACCGAAGAAGGTAAATTAGACTGTGAAAAACTTACATGAACACTGTAGAAGTCTAGTAAGAGTGGGTCTATCTCTGTCTAGCAGGGATTGTGAAATGTGTAGATAAAGGCCTAGGCTATACAGATGCTGAGCACAGTGTTTGTGGCTCTTACACCCTAGGCTATACAGATGCTGAGCACAACACCTTCTTCTCCTTTATATAGCGGGATTATGTGTTCTAGCACCCCTCTATGCAGTGGCTTTCTTCCCTAATGCCTCCTTACCACTTCCTCTCCTTTAACATGAAAATATCTCACGGTGTCATAACCATATTGTAGTATCCTTTCTATATTCACTTTTGCATGACACTTTGGTGCTTATGTATCTGTAACTGAGTTTTCCACTAGGGAGTGTTTAAAAATGTTTTCTGCAACACAAAAATAATCATAGCTGTGTTACATCAAGTAGCACTTGCTACCATTTCAGGCAGTTCTGAACCTCTTAGTCAGAGGAGCGCCTCATTAGGGATTCATGCAGCAGAAAACAATGGCAGAGTGTCCAGAAAGATCATGATTCTCACTTGTTTCGTAAAATCTGCATTTCAGAATCTGTGTTCTTCTTTCTCCCTTTGTCTTCAAAATTTGCTTTCTGAGGTGTAGAGTTAAACAAGATCCACATCCAGCTGTCCCCACAAGATTTCTGTAACTTCTTTTTAATGTGTATTTCTCTCCTTCTTGACATAAGGCTGTGCCCAAGAAATCACCTCTGCCAAAACCTGCAACCACACAAGCATGCCCAGGCAAAAACAAACGGGCCAAGGAAAGTTCCAGTAGTGAGGACTCATCTGATAGCTCAGACGATGAAAAGCCGCCTGCAAAACAGAAACCGAAATCTGGTAAGTACTAAATACTGCTGCTGCTACATGGGAGGATGCTTTCTGCTAGAGCCGCTGTCCCAGGAGAAGCATGTGCAGGGCACAGGCAAGTCTTGCTGCACGTAAGATTCCAGGTGGTGTTGGTGATGATTTCTGTGAACCAGGTGTGCTGTTGAGGCTAAGCTTGCAATTCAGCTCCTCCCTCAACAAGGTGGGGGGGGGGCAGTGAGAGAGAGTGTGACAGACTCTGCATGGTTTGCTGCATGTCTGCTATTCAGGTGGCCTTTAAGTACCTTCTTCTTGCAGGTGTCCTGTCTGCCAGGATTTGGGAATTAATTTGCCAGTGGGTTGGTTATTCTGTAACTGCAGCAATTTAAGCTTTTTAATGGGTCTTTTTTTGAAGTATCCAGGGCTGTTCAGTTGCAGTCCAACTGATGGGCTCAATGGGCGTCTGTTCTATATTAGTATAGTGCTTTTAGGATTCCTGTAGAGAGCTGATCTGAGTGGAGGATCAAGCACCGAAACTCAGTCTGATTCTCTAACCAGAGGATTTGAGAAGGCAAGAAATGAAAACAATACAACAATTGACATCTCTCTTTGTGGTTTGGGGTTTTTTTTCTTAAAAAAGTTTGGTACACAGGCTCTCATTCTTCTAAAAGTACAGAGAAAACTTGTGCGGGGATGGTTGGGTCAGCTGAACCTCGGGAGGAGAGTTAAACTCACAGTAGAAACAGGAGGGTAGCAGTGGGGTGTGTGTAACCTTTCAAATCATAAGCTAGTATCTTTGATTGTATCTACGGAAGGGGAATAAATAGAACCAAATAGCAGAAGTGCTTATTCTAAGCACAACAAACATCTCAAGCCCTGCTTATCCTGCAGGCACCTGAATGCTGTGTCTCTCTTCATAGGTCAGTACAGTGCTGTACCACCTCCTCAAGCCACACAGGCAAAGAAGGGCCTGGCCAAGGCTCCTGCAAAAAAGGCTGAGAGCAGCGACTCTTCAGACAGTAGTGATGAGGCAGAGCAGGTGCCCCCAAAAGGAAAACCAGGTATGCTGTGAGGAGAGAAGGCTGCAGAGGAATTACTACAACATGTGGACAGTGTTTTGGCAATGTCTTGGTTTCCTTGAAAAAGCGATTTGACTTTGGTCTGTGTTGCTATTTGCTTCTCTGGAGGCTTCTGAGTAAATTGAAGGCTCCCTAGCCAACACTGTGTACAGCCCATGGATCCAAACTGTGTGCAGGTTGGATTGCTTTGCACGTGTTTGAAAAACCATCAGGTTCTAGTTTAGTGGGAATAAGCCAGGCCTGTTACTGCAGCTGGCCAGGTCCTTGCTTGGCTTCCAGTGTGCTGGCTGAATGGCTGGTGCACTGAGAAGGGAACTTTTTCACATCTGGAAAGGTTTGGGTCTTGGGCAAAGATTTGGTGTGGGTGTGGCCTGTTAATGTTAAACTTGCTTTTACAGGCAAAGCAGTAGTAGCTAAAACAGTCCCTGGCCCCCAAAACAAAGCTGTGACTACCAAGAAGGCTGAATCCAGTTCTGACAGTGACTCAGGTAATTCAAGAAATAAAGTGGGTTTGGGGTTTTTTTGTGTTAATGTTTTGATTGACCAAGTTGCTGTAGAGTAGTGTATCTTCTAAGATCCTTAGCGTGTGAGGTCAAAGGCTTCACAGTCTCCATCGCTAACAGCAGCAGCCTGTTATGCAGGGTGGAGTCTGACCATAAGACACCAATGAGACCATTGACAAGTGCAGAAAGGTCTGCATGTTGCTGTGTGGAAAGGGTGGGAGATCATGTGGATCACGTTTCTCCAAGAAGGTTAATGGTTACTACACCTTTGGGGATCTGTGTCTTAAGATTTTTGGCTTCTGTTATCCCATTTTTGGCTTCTGACTTTATTTGGGACAAGTTTCCAAAAACAAAAAAGCTATTGCTGTACCAAGTTCCAAATAGACTCAAAAGATGCTTTTCTCCTTCTGTGACCCTAGAAATAGGGGCAGTGTGCTTTGTATCTTCTGTTGATCAGGTTTAAGGTTTGCAGTGCTATCTTTCCCATGTAAGCTCCCTGTGCACTACATTCCTTCTCCAAGTTCCAAGTGCCTCTGTTGTATATATCAGCACCCTGGTGCTGCAGCAGGGACTGTGGGTGGCAGCTGCCTCTCTGTCTGCAGACAGCTAGCACTAGGCTGTGTGACCCTTCAACAAGCGGCAGGAGCTCTGCGTTTTCTAGTTCTGTTGCCTAGCTTCTCACAAATGGACAAGGTTTTAACACTTGCTATTGAAGTGTCCAGAAATGTTGGACCAGGTGAAGCTTAGCACTCCAGATTGCTCTGACACACGATACAAAGGCAGGTTTATATGCAGGAGTCTCCAGTCCATCCTCGGACTGCTGCGGAACACATTTGACACAGGAAATAGAAAGCTAAAATGGGATACTGTGCTGTTGGCTCACTTTCCCTGCTTTGTCAATTTTATCTCCTAATTTCTTGCCTGTTCTTTGACCTTTACTATCTTTTCTCAATGTTTCTTTTCCCTGAGTTTGTTCTTGGGGATACCTGTACTTTCTCCAGTCCCTTACTCTGTACCTCTTCTACATTATTCTCTAAATATCTCCTTCCTTGTGCATGCACTAGTGACAACTTAAACTGCCTGTTTGCACTTCCTCCCAACAAAGAAGGTAGGTGGGAAGATGAATGCTGTTCCCTGACCATTGGAGTGTTCATCAGATGCTGCTTATTGCCAGTTATCTAGTGACTCAGCCTTGGGCCCCAACCCATTTTGCTTTTCACTTCCCCATCAGTTACATACGTGTTATTACTGAAGTAACTTGTACCAGAAGCTTATTAACTTTAAGAACATCCTTTTTTTTTTTGGTTTAGATTCTAGTTCTGAAGATGACAAGAAGAAGGCAGGGAGTAAACTCCCAGCTAAACAGCCTGTGATAAAGAATACTTCCAAACCAGCAAAAGTAGCTATCAAGCCTGGACAAGCCAAGAAAGACTCCAGTTCCTCTTCAGAGAGCTCAGGTATTGGGGCAGGAAAAGAGAATTTGCACATGCACAGTGTGCTTGCTCAGACCTCTGTTTCTAGGCAGGGTATGAGGGTACAGTTGGACAGGAATACCCATTGCAGTATTGTTTCAAGCAGCTCATGTAGTGCACTGTGTATCAACACTGAATCATGTTAGCTTCATGTTGAAGGAATGGGGCTTAGCCTTGATAATTCTCCTTTCCATTCTAGATTCTGATAGCTCTGACAAGAAGGCCCCTGTGAAGCCCACAAATAAAGCAGCAACCCCTGCAACGAAGAAGGCACAAGCTGCCACAAAGAAAGCACAGAGTAGCTCTGATTCAGATAGCAGCTCCAGCAGCTCTGAGGATGCAAAGAAGAAGAAAGGCACTCCAGCTAAATTAACTGGCAAAGTGGGTAAGCCAGTGTCCAAACCTTCTACCCCAGCTCCCAAAGCAGCCACTTCTGACTCTGATAGCTCAAGCAGTGAAGAAGAAAAGAAGCCAGCAGTGAAACCAGCCATCAAACCTACAGGGGCAACAAAAGCAGCTGTGGGAAAGAAGGCAGCTGCTTCTAGTAGTAGTAGCAGCTCATCTGATAGTTCCAGTGAAGAGGATGAGAAGCCCAAAAAGGCAGGGAAAGGGGCGCAGAACAGTTCTAAGACCACTGCCTCCACAGAGAAAGCAAAAACACCCACACCGGCAGCAAACAACATGAAGTCTAAGCCAGCTGGTGGCAGCAGTAGCAGCAGTGAAAGCAGCTCTGAAGAAGAGGCTGGAAAAGTCAATGGAGGTATTACCTGCGGTCTGGGAAGTGGGTCTGTCAGACAGTGTTACTGAGCTCAGCATGAACTGGGAGCCTTTCCTAAACAACACTCAGTTTAATCTCTATGTGCTATTAGATTATGCCATCTGGAGCAGTACTGGGAGGGAAGGGATAGTTTTTAATTTGGTGTGATCCTTTTTGTCTGTATTGCATGTCAGCCGGCAGTGGAATGTGTGGTAACATCAAATAGTTTCTGTACAGTTGTTGCTAGATGCCATCTGTGCATACACAAAATGGTTAGTAACAGCAAGGCAGGCTGCTGGAGGACCTTGTCTGTGTAGAGTGGGACACCACAGATGATGCCCTAATGCACAGTCTCAATCTCTATCCCTCCAGGAGGAAAACAACTTTGAATGCACTGTTGATGTGTGCAAGTGCATACTGTGTGACTCCAAGAACTGGCAAATTTTAACCAACAGAACTTTCTCAAGTGCAATAAATCATTAATATAGAGGTACCCTATTCCACAAAATTATCTTTATCGATTAGGATAGGATGGCAAAGTCCTTGCTGACCCAGAATGGCTATTAGTGTCTGTTACAACAGCCTGTTTTCTAGGTGAGGTAACACAGGGACTGATCCTCACACCCATGTCAACACTGGGTTTGCATTCTGGGGGAGACATGCCATTACCTTACCCTACAATGCCGTTAGTCCCTTATAAGTTTCACTGCTGTACATCTGCCAGGCACGATCAGGAAGAAACAGAAGAGGGAAGATGTTCAGGAGCCAGAGACACCACACAGTAAAAAGGCAAAGATCAAAGCCAAAACACCACACACCGTTCCGAAGGTGAAACAGGTGAGTGAGAGTGGGCTGTGGTGACTGGTGCGAGAGCCATCTCTGCCTCCTGAACAAGCAGGCTTGTCTGGGGGAGGTTGGGCCCACAGGATTATCTATTTTTCTCCCTCTTCAAGCAATTGAGCCTTGTCTGGAGAACACTAGGGAGTGCACATACGTGCATAGTAGTATTCTGGGAAAGGTTGATTGGATATGCTTGCACAGGAACATCCCTAAGCTGCCTGAACTGAATGAAGGGAAAGAATTATGAATCTGAGAAACACTTGGATTGAGATGATGTGACCAGGGCTGCATAGCTGCAGGTCAAGGAGCGAAGGAGGTTGTCACTAAGGAATATCCTGTGCATGTATGCGCTTACTGTGTCTCATTTTCTTTAACAGTCAGCCACGCCGTTCCGCCGCGTAAGGGAAGAAGAGATTGAGCTGGATCCCCGTGTTGCTGATAACTCATTTGAAGCAAAGGTAGGGCTAGGTAGTGCCCAGAGTGGCAACCCTTAGCCTCTGCAAAGAGCCTCAGCAGAGCAACCTTGGTGTGCTTGTGGGCAGATTCTACCGGGAACTTTTTCCACCAGGAGGTGCTGTTAGGAAGTGTGTGAGCTCTGGCCAGAGGCACCGGAGAGTGGTATCTGCTCCAGCCTCGTCTACTGGTGTTTGCTGGGTAGGGTGAAGTACAAAGCATTGCCTTTACTCTCTTGGGTACTGACCTGAATGTCTTTTTCCTCTCCCCCTTCGTCCCTCACAGAAAGGAGCAGCTGGTGACTGGGGTGAGAAGGCTAACAATATCCTGAAATTCACTAAAGGCAAATCTTTCCGCCACGAGAAGACAAAGAAAAAACGAGGCAGCTACCGTGGGGGCACTATATCGACCCAAGTCAATTCTGTCAAGTTTGAAAGTGACTGAGAATATTTCCTGGCAAATTCATAAACCGCCTGCTCACCAGAACGGCTTGGATGGGCATGTGGATGTTATGGATGTCAAACCTGCCTGGAATGCTACCTCCCTTAACCCATTGTTGGGCAGGCAGCTCCAGCGTGGGGATGTCGGAGAATGGTTGGATGTTTCCCCCTTTTATTTCTAAATTCTGGTTTAGGCCCCTAATTTGGAACCGCCCTTGAGCAGGTGTTATTGTCACCACTGGGGTGACCTCCAAGACTTAAATTTTCTACAGTCTTATTTTAAAAGGCTGGCAGTGTTTTTTCATTTAGGTTTCCTGCCCATCTAGTAGAAGAAAGAGAAATCATTCTCCTGTGTCTTAACATCCCACTTCTTTTTTCATCCAGTTTGATAGCTGTGAAATGGCAAGTACTGTAACTTTCCTTTGGCTCGTTACTGTAAGAGCAACAACTGACTTGAACCCTCTGGCCGTAATCCCCACCCCCACCTGACATTTCAAGTTCACAGTTGCAGTGTGATAGGGTTCTATTCTGTTTCCTTCTGCTATGGTTTCACCTTGCAATAAATTCCTACCTTCCTCTTCCTTCCACTGCTGTTGAAGCTACGAATCAGAGTACTTAGAGAAGCAGAGTCTAAATACACCGTAGTAGTTGAGTAACTATTGGTTGCAGCTGCAGGTTGGGGGCTACTGTCAGCAAGACCGGGGTCTGCAGTACTGCTGTGGCACTCGAGAACGCTTTCATTGGGCACGTAGCTGTGGAGTGGGGATGTGCAGAAACTCCTGACTGCACAGGGGTTGTCACAGGTGGGTTTGGGAATAGGTAAGGATGCAGAGGAGATGAGGCACTCTTTTCTACCCAGCTCTGTTCTTCGCTGTGTTTGTTTCAGAGGCTCTGACTGCAGTGTGGCATTACTCCTTGTTCTCTCTGAACAGAAAACGTGCCAGCTTCTGCTTACTCCCAGCAATGTGCTGTGCAGCTTGTTAGGAGTCAAGATGAATGTATCGTTAATGCCTTAAATTTTTCTGTGTTGAATCAGTTGTTCTTTGAGCTGTTTTCCATGTTTTAAATCCCTCTCAAACTAAAATGCCAGTTTCCCTGTAGCACTAAGGTTTGAAGGGGTAGCTACAAGTACACATTCAGTATGGGGAGCCTGAGACAGGTTCAGTAACTTGCAGCCTGAACAGATTCCGTGAGGGAGTGAGATAATATAATGGCTTATTGCTGTTGAGAGCTTACTTTCTGTCCCGTTGTGTGACTGCCTCCTTATTTCTGGTGCAACCCATGTCTGGTAGAAAGTGGTTTCCCCAACTACTTTTTTCCCCTGTTTGGTGGGTTAATTTTAGTTTGTGGAGCAGTCTGCGGAGCCCGCAGCCAGTGTGATGTGGCAGCGGTAGTGCGTGTCTGGGAAACGGGGTAGTGGGCTGTGAGAACTGCTCACCCCATCTCATGAAACTGCCAGCCAGCGAGAGGTTATGCAGGGCCTGATTTCCATGTTTCCATTCCCTCCCAGAAGGGTGACAATGAGAAGAGCCCTGTTGTTACAGGAAACTACATCTGTGTGCAAAGCAGTGTCACCTAATTGAGGGTTGGATGAGGCTTGGTGAGCCACCCCCATATACATGAGCTGCAACTTGTTCCAGTGAACATTTTTCAGGACATCCCCTCTGGCTTGCACAATCACTCTGGTGCCCGATTCTAGGCTGCCATGCAGAGGGGCCCAGGAGACTGCTGTTATTGCAAGGAATTAAAGGCTGGAGGCCAAAGGAAGGTGGGAAGAAAGATTTCTGCCTGGGAATTTGAACATCATCTTGCTTGTGCTTTGTCATTTGCCCTCTTTCTTCTGTTTATCAGGAACCTACATCTGGAACTCTTAAACTTTTTAAAAACTTTTATGTTTTGAGACATAAATTTTAACGTGTGAGAATTTTGATGTGGCGGAAAATAAAGATTGCTGCCTTTGTAATCTGAGTGGAGCTGGTAAAGGTGTGGAATAGCGGGTGGGAAAAGGGAGGGTATCAGTGCTGGGGGTAACTGTCTCTACATCCACTACAGCTACATGTCTCCTTAGTTATGTGCTCATGTCCGTGTATAACGCCTTTGGAAGTGGGAGGGGGCCTGTGCAGCTGGCTGTAGTGACTGCAAGAAAGTTGGATAAAACTGTAGGAGAATATTTGCTCATACCAAGACAAACTGAGGCTGCTCGAGTCCCTTCCCACCAGAATATCTGGTCAGCTCCTCCTAACATTGCTACCAAATTAGCTGCACAGCGGCTGGCAATATAACCTCAGTAGCACCAGAATCAGTAGGCATAACTGAAAAATTCTGCATATACCTGGTTAATAGAAGCAATTTCTGTGCCCCCTTAGATCTCTTCCTCCTCTGTGACCGTGTCTGCAGGGAAATCTGCTAATAGGTAGAGCCTGGAGGAGGTCTTGCGTGCTGTAATGATTCCTTTTACCCCTTGTGCTATGCCCCTGTGGAAAGGTTGGGATGAATCACCAAGGAGGATTGAGCTGTCAGTTGTTCTGTAACCAGTGTCTGCCACAGCCTTCCGCCTGGAGCGTGGTGTTGGAGAAGGTGTGACGCTCTCTGAAGTTTCAGCAGCAGATGCAAAGAATGTCGTTAGCCTCGGTGGAGATGGCTGCTTGACCCAGCAAGTGCGACAAGTGCTGGGGGAGGGAATGCTCTGCGAGTCTCAAAGCAATGTGCTTGATGCTCCTAGGGGAAAACTGCACCCTTGGCAAGCCTTTGCAGCTGCTGGGCTGCCTTCACCGGCGTCTGCTGCTGTCCTGGTGGGAAGGAAACACCTCGTGGATCCCTTAGGCTTGGTTTCCCTGTGCATCGCCGGTGCAGTTTCAACCGTGGTTAATGCTGGAACTGGACTAACAGGACAGCCTCCTCCGGCGCGTGCTGTACCTGTGCGGGTGCCCTGAACGCTGTCCCTGGCCTCCGAATTCCCCGTGTGCCACCCTTCCCGTCTTGCTGTCCAGCCCCCTGCCCTCTAAGAGGGGGTCCTGGCCCCGTGAGTAGGGTCCGGCACCGGTCCCCGGAGGGATGCTTTGACGCGCTGCTGGCACACGGGTCTGGCGGGAGCTGCTAGGCGCTGCCCCGCTGCCCGCCGGCGCTGCTCGCC